TATGTTTTTGATGGTTTTAAAGTATCATTAGAAAGTGATTACTTTACCAGATTATATACCTACGAACAAAAATACCTAGCTAGGTACCAAAATGTTTTCTGTGCAGTGACGTGCACACGTACCATTTTTCGGTGTGATAGATGACGTAGTTTATCTACGATTATTATTTTTGAATCAAAACATTATTACACAAGTGAATTTTATTGAACTTTACACTTTGAAAATGATTAGACAAAAAAAGAAAAAAAGATTTGATACTGGGGTCGGGCTTGCCACTGGTGTAGGTGAAAAGTTGGAAAGACAGTATATATACAATTATTTAATTTATATCTGTTAGAGTTATTAAATCATTACAATCGAAAAACGATTCGGAGAGAAGTTCGGTTGTATAATATGTTTTGAAAGGCGGTAATATTTACGATTTTCGTCAAAATTCGATATTGAAACTCTTATAAAAAAAAAACTACATTACATTCAATATTTTTCTTTCCTCAATTATTATGAACATCATAAAATGACCTTCTTAATGCATCAACCAGAGAAAATATCCTTTCGGAAAAAGTGCCACATTTGATACATTTCGATATATGGTAGAAAAGTTGCTTACAGACACGTACACACACACACACACACACACACATACATACATAAAAACATACATCATAGTAAAACCAACAGATCCCTCGCTACACTCTGAATATTAAAATAGTTTTGTAGAGAGTAGGTGAAAGAGGATTATATACGTTGAGATTTTATTTTTCAATTCATTCCCACCGGTGCGTGCAATCTGCCGTCCACCGAACCCCTTTTATCCTCGTAACAGGCAACACATTATACATGATATAATACGTAAAACATAATGTTATACTTGTTAATAAACAAATAATATAAATAAAAAGTTACATAATCTGGTAAGGTATATATTGGATAATTGCTATGTGTTTTCCTTAAATCAGTACTGAGTTGCGTTTAATGCTTTCGGGTTGTCTGCTCTTATCCGTATTTACAGGTTGTACAATTAACTTGGTAGCCCTATGTCCACATAAAATTCGCTATATATTTGGTCATCCCAAGCTTACGCACAAACTGTTCAGTGTCCTCCATGTCGGCCAGTCAGGTTTGTGATCCGGCGATAAATGTTCTAATGGTATCACCCATCCTTTATAAACAGTGTTCGCTAGTTATCTTTTCCACTCAGCCATCCTACTCTCGGAGGGTTTTTCTGACTGGACTTCAAGTATTGATTTCAATCGGAAAGAATAGTTTCGGCCATACCTATAATGCCCTATTGTCTTTCATTTATGTCCTCCACTTTTACGATATTGATCGTCTAAACAGATGAGGTAGTAAGTATACTTTAACAGATGACCTTTAAAACAGCCGACAAACCAATTATACTCCTGATTTTATTGACTGGTAAACTCTCAAACGTTCAATAATTGATAATGTACCTTATCGTATACAAAAGCAGTTACGCCAATGTACAATTTTATATAGCATTTAGAAAAATAGAATTTCGTCTTGAAAGAGCGGAAATGACTATAGTTTTGAAATTACAGCGATGGGTCTCGATAGACCAGCAAATCACGTACGATAAAATGTAGAAAAAAATTATGGAATATACGAAATCTATTAATAATTATGCAATAATACGATGCGTCTTCGTCCGTCATCGATTTACTATCTAAATATAAAATATAAAGATTTATAATGAGAAATAATGAAAATCACGCAGTCTGCAGTTTTTAATTTTAATTTGATCCATTATCAAGAGTAGATGCAGTATCTATTTTCTCGAAATGTGTGGCTTTTGACTTCGCAATTTTATCGGTTTATCATATCAAATATTGATAATATTATGTCATAGTATATAATATATCTTCTTCTTTTCGTATCCGGTCTTAGTAGCTTATCACGTATGTCTTTATTTAAAACTTCTTAAGGTACAGAATATATGGTAAATAAAGTATTTTTTTAGTAATAGAGGTACCGTCATACTTTTTGCCAATGCCCTTTCCTGTCTCCGCCATTGCCTGTGACTCATTTGACGTAGTTTTACATTACAAATCGAATTTGACGTTTGTTCGGTTGAAATTCCTATATGAGATCTCGAAACAGTCAAAACAAGGTAATGGAGGTAGTCGAAATCCTACAGACGAAGCAAATATATATATATCGTTAGGTATTGGAATTATCCTTATTATGTCATTTCCAAGAGGCTCATATCAGTTATGGAAAGAACTGCGCGCAACTCTAATATTCATTGTCTTACCAGGGAGAGTTTTAACATAACCCTCAAGTCGACTCGTTAGAGTTTACACGTACTTATCTCTTTTAAACCCAAAAACCCGCTGAGAGTTATTATTCTCGGATTTCGCGATCGCGGAATTCGTACCTACTGCCGAAAGTACCTATATCGTTAGCACGCAACTACGTATTAAATCGAGTGTTGTTGTTGATTCGCGGGGATTATTATTATCAATACGATGGTGTATAATATCATGTGCCGTACGGATGATTACAGTAGTATTTAACGGTCGTTAGTCGCCGTAATAATGCAATATACTGTTTCCGAGCGACAGAATAGCACCGATATAGTAGCAACAGACGATTTCTCGGACCGTTGTGTCGGTAGATAGGTAACGACTGTCTCTAATCGCTGCACCGAAATATACTTAGTTAGTATCTACCTACCTGCATACTCGACGGACTCTCAACGAGAGAAAAAAAACAAAGGTCAACAAGTATAGATTATTATTGTTATTATCGGAAGTTTTCTCACGGACACACGGGGATATCAAAAATCATTAACGTTTTCGACCGTTGCAACAGACGCCCACGACTCGTTCACCACAGTCTGATGATAATATTATATTTTTAGCCTGTGATGTACATCACGAGTTTCTGTATACGAGCTGTCGGAATGTAAGTATGGCTAGGTACTTACTATAACACGCGCAGGCAGCTTTCATCATCGCATTAAGATCGCCGAGTCGGTGGCGCGGGTCTCGGTACCGTCTAAATTAGATTTAAAACATTATATTACGAGTATTATTATTATTATAGTGCGTTTTCCTATTTTACGAGCGCTACAGATCCTTTGGTAGCTGGATTAAATTATTTTTTAAGTGACAACGAGATACAAATAGGTATGTTTCGCGCTCGTTTGTGTGGGTGTATATTTTAGTAAAAATACTACACATAGTATACTATGTACCGCTACTACTGTCGGCGTCTCAGGAATTTCATATCGAGCAAATTGATGATGTATGAACCCTTCACATCTAAACCCCCTTCCTCTAGTTACAATATTAACCTATAGCATAATCATACCCTCTAACACCAGAATCTTAGCATAAAAATACGTTCTAAAATCATACACCAGAGGTATGATTTTTTCTACGATAACTATACCACCCACCGATACCAAAATCCAAGGATATATTTTACTTTCTAAATTCATGAATCAGGGTACAAAAAGGGATTCAACTTCCAAAACTATTAAATTATAGACATGGCTTCGATAGAGACAAAATGAGAGAAATAAGATTGAGATGGTTTGAACATGTCATAAAAAAGGGTGAACCGGAGGCACTAAGAATGGTAATGCAAATAACCGTCAAAGGAAAGAGAGGAAAAGGAATAACGGAAAATTGATGGTTAAATGCGATTGAGTGTGATATCAGGATGGCCGGTTTATGCAAGGATGGTTTTGGAGGTCGGGTCAAATGAAAGTTTAGGACGAAGTTAACAGCCGAACACGATCATTTGGGTTTATGTAGTATCCGATTATATAGATATATCCGATATATTATGGGTTGCGTTCATAATAAATCGGTATAAAATAGGTAAGTAATTGTTTAACAGAGTATTGGTATTATTCATAATCAGATAATAATATTGTTAAATATGTACAAAAAAAAAAAAAAAGCACGTAGGTAGGCCATTGTTGTAGGTGAGAAGTTGGGAAATTTAATGTATATCTGTACTCTATGATTTTAACCATTGCTAACGTAAAACGATTCTTAGCTGAGTTCAGTTGATAGTGTTACTTTGTCAACAATATATATGTCATATTATGATAAATGATTACGTGTTCACATAAAAAAAAAAATAAACATCACTGTAAAATCAATACATTGCTCGTTCCACTCAGAATCTAAAATTCACGTTAATATTATTAAAATATAAAATATATAGATAGCCGGTATTATAATAATACAATATTTAAGTAATAATTTACATATAGGTATCTATTTTAACCTAGTTAAAATTTATTGGGAAAAAAATTGATTTAATAAATTAAAACCATCGATCAATTTACGATCATTTTAGGTGTGCGTAACACGGTTTTACATTTTATAAGTTAACGTTATAGTGTTGGCAAAATATATGCGATATTGAATGCGTGAGTATAATGTGATACTATTTGAAAGTGATTTTGTTAATTTCGATGTACGACAAACGTATCGCTAAATTGTCAGCACTCACTCACTTACATAAAAAAAGAAATCAAAAAGCCAATAAAACACTAAAATAATTACCATGTACCAAAACGAGCTAATTATTACATAAATAATTTTCGCATTTAAAATATAATATTAAATCCTCAAAGTTTTACTATTCGGAAGAACAAAATTAAATTGCATGAACGTATCCATAACTAATATCATAATTTATAACCTGAAAAAATCAGTACAATTATAAAAAAAATATAATTATATAAAATAACGAACATTTTGGTCCAGTTTACAGACCCACAGTAGTAAATATAGTAAGAAATTAGGTATAAAACGAATAATTGTGTACAATATAAAAGCCGTGATCTAAATTAAATTTAACATTCAATTATACAGTATACCTTATACCTAGGTATCGATTTATTTTTGTCTATACAAAAATAAAGGTGATTAGGGGGATTAAATCTTTTCCCCTCCGTGTATAAACTTCTGATCTTTACTCTATGGTTGGTGAGGTATAAATCAAAAACGTGGACATTGCTACTGGTCTTCCGCGGTTGGCGCAGTATACTGCTGTAGCGTTATAAGAACCGTCGACAGTGCGAGTTTCATTTTATTTTTTTCAGATTTCACTTGCTTCAAATGGGCAGACAACTTATCGTTTGCGTTCACTAACGGCATTAGCTTATTGATTTCGGCTTCCAGCATACAGTTTTCGGCTACCAGCCTTGCACCTTTGGCATTCGCCTTTTCCATTAGTTCCTCCAAACTTTGCACTTTCTGCAATTTTGCTAACCATTTGATGTGCATGTCCGCTTTTTCCTTACAGAGCGCTTCCATGGCATCCGTCATCTGCATCATCTTTTGAATAGAGACTACGTTTGACGTCGATTCTGATATCGACTCTGACGTCAGTTTGACGGTCTCCGTTAATGTTTTCGGGATCATCAATCGCGATGATGACGATTGGCTAGCACTGTTTGCGGTCGTGTCACTATCGGTTTTGATGTGAAACAGTTGTTTTATTCGTTTGGACATCTTATCACAAAAGATTAAATACAAATACAATAAATGTACCCAATCCCAACTCTGCTCGAATCTACTTAGCCCAGCAATGTCACACAAATGTATAACGTCAAAAATAAGTTTTGTTGCAAATACAAAAAACAAGATGTTATTTTATTAGATAGAATATATTTCCGAAAAATAAACAAATTAAAACTAAGAGAAAAAAAATGATAACATTATGGCAATTGATTAAAAGAATAGATATGAGGAAAAGAACTGACCAAACAGTTAAATAGTTGCTTAGTTAAAAAAATAAACACATCATTTAAAATTAATTAAATTAAAGTAGAGTGTATTTTTTTCAAGAGACAACTATTACGAAGTTTTTTTTTTTGATTAGGTAACCAGTTAATCAATTACATTTTCGAGTTTTACTTTAGGATTTTTTATTGCAGAATCAAATGAAAAATCGTGAAATTTAAATAGCTATGTTAGACATTTTATCTTATGGAATTCACTCTTGGCTTTCTCAATCTTGCATTTAAATTTTATTGAATGTCCCATGCAATGGACCAATTTTCTATAGACTTATCATAATATTATATTATTTGTAAATATAACTGAAGTAGGAACGGGCCTTAGGTATTTAGCCACCCTAGGCAAATAACTATATTCATAACCACCCTTTCAATGTTGGCCACCTTGTCATATAGTATATCCAATACCTACAATTGTTCACATCAGACAACTAAATTTCGCTACTCCCGAAAAAATTGCCACCCTGTATTTTATCTATTATAATATTATCATTTTTCGCATTGTTGTTGATCGGACAACCACTGCAGCAAGGTAGACCTATACACTGCAAGTACTCAATATTTTATTATATTGTACTACGCGTGAGCACAATACACACAGTAATAATATTATCGTGTAAAACATAAATAGCGCGTATATTACGGTGGACGCGTGATTTAGAGGGTTCGCGGGTCCCTGCAGACGAGCGTCTCAATCCGCGACACGGCCGAACACGGTAAAGCCATTAGCGAAGAACAGCGTACACTTACTTATACTTATATCGTGGTACAAACGAAACGGAAAAAAAAGCGTCTCGTCGTCGTCCAGTATATACGATAGACGATTGGCGCGAAAATAAAAAAAAAGAAAAAAAAGAAAAGAAATAATAATAATAAAAACTCCATAGGTATTATACACCTATATTTATATATTACACACGTATTATTATAACGTGTTACGTACGTACGGACACTCGATTTGAGTGTACGTACGTGTACGCTAGTGAATAATATTATATAAGTATAATGTTATGCGCTTTGAATATACATACATATAAAACCCCTTTGAACTGGGCCTATTGTGTATACGTGTGCTTATATTATCTATCGTCTTTGGCGGTTTTCCTTCTGCCCACGATACGACGACGACGACGACAGCCGGACAGACAGACACATTTTACCCGCCGTCTGTTTCACACCGCCACTACGTATACACCTATATAATAATGTACTATTATAAAAATATACAACAATAATATCTCATTCCGAAACCAACGATATAATAATAATAATATAATGTCTATTCATCGGATTTAACCAGCTTTGTACGTTGCTATCATACATTTACTGTTTTTTTTTTTTTTTTCAATCTTCGGTCTTAATTTCATCAATATTGTTCGGCGCGCCTTTTGTGGCCCCGCGGTGGAATCCACGTCGTCGTCGTCGTCGTATCCGTTTTGTGCGCTTAATTGTTTATTTTTTTTTTCTTTTTCATCGACTGGCTTTATAATATCATCACAACTATTCGTTCTGATTCCCGCCGCTGACGCCGACCGTTCTCCTCTTCTCCTCTCGCCCGTCGCCTTATTATTATTGTATTGTTTGTTACATTCGGGATTAGATATATTTTTTTTTTTTTCTTCGCCCCTCGATTTATAAATTGACCGACCGTCCCGACACAACGGCGGCGGAGGCGGCAGCGGTCGCATCCGTATCCGTTCATAAGACGCGCTATGACCCGAAGTAGCGAGAAATAATAACATAACTGTACATAAGTTACACGCGTTGGCGACTTTAACGCCAGACCGGTGCCAGACTCGCGTTTATTATTATCGTCTCCCGAGTATATTATCATTGAGTTTTTATTTCGCGACTATATTGTATATAGGTGCGAAACACGATGATTATATATTATATCATATACCGGTATACCTGTATTGTTGTTATACTTGGACACCGACCAATTCGATCGTTTCCCGCGGGATCGTTATTCTCGAGTGGCTGCAACGAGATTTTCTTCGTTTTATATAGTTATTGCCGCGTCAAATCGCATGTACGCGAAAAAAAACCATTATTCGTTCGTTCGTCTCATCGGCAATGACGAATGACTATAATATTATATTTAATTAAACCGTGTATTATTATCGTATATATTTGTACCTGTAAATGATTTATTTTCGACAGTTAAAGGTACCAATATTATTATAGTTTGAAAACCTTAAATATTATTTTTACCGTTCGTCGTGAAGCGCCGATTAATCTGTCTTCGTCTGTAGACACACGCGCTACATAGGAAATTGTATGCGGGCCGTTGAGCTACAAACGGAAATTTTACGAATTTATGGAAATGTTAAAATCGAAAAATGGTAAAGAAGTCGATTATTATATTCGTGGACAGTGAACAATTTCGCACTTCTAACACTATACATTATGTCTTCACAAAATTGTCATAAACACGTACATACACATACGCATGTATGATTATATTTTATATAAACTGGATACTTTATTTTTTTTTTAACGGCAAAACGGTTTTATGGCGAAACGGTGACGGTGACTTGTCTGCGTTCAAATTCTAATCGATTCTCGCGGCCTTAATAAAATGGTGTCTATAATAGCGTCTTTAAAATTATGTTTTTTTTTTTTTTTTATCAAATATCTATAGTTTTTTTTAGGTTAGCTTAAGTTTTCTATTGACAATATTTTATTTTTCTTATAATACCGCGTCCATTTAATCATTAGTAATTACGACAATAAACATAAAAATCGGTTTGTTCGTATTTTAATAATCATAATTTATTTTTTATAGGTTTAATGACTTCCGCGCGGACCGCGATAACTAAAAAAAAAAAACAAACCGGATTTTGAAAATGAATAGTATACTCGCCTCCTGTTAAAAATATAATGGACGTGTATACAATAATGTACTCTTGTAATAATTAGATTATTCAAATATATATTGTACCTACCTATTATTTTATTGTAGGCGACGACTTTTCTACCAGAAAGAAGCCGCTGGATACTTTTGTGTGTACTACGAAATTCAATGTTATGCGTGTAACGCAAATTTATAAAGTGTATAAAAATGACTAAAAATTAATTTACAACATTTTATTAATTCAGCGCACAAAATAAATAAAAAAAAAATTAATTTCCAGATAACACTAATATCATATACCTACCTAACACGATATCGTTTATTGTTTTAAGGTAATACTGTAAACCAGTGGTGACCAATCTTTTTTTACAGAGGGCCATACAAAATAACAATAATTCTTGGTGGGCCGAGAATTTTAACATTTACTTTTAAGTTAATAGAATATATTTTATTGCAGGTACCTACGTCTTAAAATTGACACAGTGATATATTTAATTATTCATTGTCTTCGTTGTTATGACTGAGAAAAAAAATGTATGGCATAAACATACTTTTTTTTCAATGTGAGTGTTTATTTTTGAAATTCGAAATAATTGTTGTTTTCAATTTTGATTTAATAATACTTCGGTGGGCCGATTAATTAATGATCGTGGGCTGGATTTGACCCACTGGCCGTAGTTACGTAAATATAGGTTCACGGTATTGACAGCGTTGATCTCTTGTGATATTTGTCATCAGTTTGTCATTATCAATTGTCACTTCTAAACATGATATATATCTTCGAATATATGCTGATAATTCTTTAATTTTATAATTGTCATTGTTAAATAATTTCTTTTAAAAATAAGTCTTTTACAGTGGCTTTCGGGTTTCTAAAGTACGGAGATATCGGTGTAATATGTATAGTTAAAATCCACGCTCTAGACAAAAATCTGTACACGAGTAGCAAAATGTGAATTTTACTTAAATAATTTTTTTATGCTTAAATTCATGTTGAAACCAGTCTTCTGACTCAAAAAAAAAAAAAAGTTTATAGTATGATAAATGGCAAACAAATGGGACCTGTAGAAATTTGTCCCCATTTCACATTCATCAACATTAGAGGTGGTTTCTGGTAGCAAATGTTGTCTAATTAATGATATGAAGAGGTTTTTCTAGATAGACTGAGATATAAATTATATTAAATGATTATAGATGAATTGATAATAATTTATTGTACGTCAATCACACAAATCTGATAAAAGTTGGTTACAATGATCAATACAATCTTGATGTGCATTGACAATTTAGGAAACTATGTGCATTATAGCAGAAAGTTACATTGTAGTCGTAATGTTACAAAGAATAAATTATAAACATGTGCGACGTGGTAGGGGCGGTACCAGAAATTATTTAGAAGAGGGGACATAGAGTAGGATTTACAACACAACTATGTAAGTTAGTAGATATAAGAGTATAAGAGCCCCAAAGGGGTAAATTCCACTTTAAAGGGGATCTAGGAGGCACGTGCCTCATTCGCCTGCTCCTTGGATATACACTTGAATGTAGGTATATCTAAAATTGTTTAATTAAGATGTCATACCCACATGTGTTGTCTCCGTCTTACTAACGCATAGCAAAATTACGTTACCTACTTAGAACATAAATTGTAGCCTTTAAATTGAAATTGGTGTTTAAATTCTGATTTCAACCTAAACGTTACAATTGACGTTCTAAGTATAGCGTTATAGATGGACAGACTTGGAATTTTATGTATAAAAAAGAAATCGATAAACCAAAATCGATTTCTGTTTTACTCTTAAGTCTTCACGTGAATCACTGCAGGGCTGTGAACAAAAAAAAAAAAAAAATCGCGC